TGGGTTCACCTTTAAAGTGCAAGCTTTAACAATGTGGCCTAAATAGCATACATTTCACAATTTATTTTTGTGAAGGAAGTACATTAGCAAGTAACCTAGTAATTACATATGGCTAAGGTTGAAGAGTAACCAGGGACAAAGCTTGTACTTTTTTTTCGCCTGTTTTCCAAGGCTAGACTGTTGCAGCATGCAGACAATAGCCAGCAATAAACAGAGCTGCATTTCAGTGTAGCCTCAGGTGAAACTAATTAAGGGATCGCTTCTGGCAAGGAGAGAGCTAGAGGTAAAATAAAATCCTGGAGCTTATTTGTGCCATTTCCAGCATGTTGTAAGACGCTCAGCTCATGTAATAAACAAGACAAGAAGGAAAGTGTAGGAACCAACAGCAACCAATCATAATTCACTTTACAACAGTCAGTGTAGTACATGATTGATTGTGACTGTTAGCACCACAATTCATATGTTGTGCATTACTTCATGAATGAAATTCCATTTCATTGAGTAAACCCATTGCTCTGTAATATATGGATAATAGGGAGTGACATGATGTGGTTCAGTACATTTAGTAACCTATATCTGCATATCAATAAAGGGGGCAGGTCTGTGACAGGCTGTTCAGAAAGAAGTCACGACTTCCTGACTACTGAGGACTGCTATCTGTCAGTGTCCTTTGTATGACGGAAGCAGTAGAATGATGGTTGAGTTGTCAATCCCTCAAATAGCTCTCTAGATACATCTTGGAACTGGGCACAAACACAAATTATTATTACAGGTACTTGTATAGCACCATTAATTTACATATATATATATATATATATATTATTTATTTATTTATTGTACATTCACATCAGTCCCTAACCCTCAAGGAGCTTACAATCTAAGGTCCCTCACTAGGATCATCCCTTTGAACCCGAACACACATTAATTACACAGGTTCTGAGGCTGATTAAGTTGGTAATTAAACTCACTTAATGCCTTATCTGCATTAAATTAGCTTCAGAACCTGTGTAATTAATATGTGTTTTGGTTTAAAGGGATGAGGTGGCAACCCTATCCCTCACTCACATTCATACATCCACATACTAAGGCCAGTTTAGACAGGAACCAATTACCTAGCAGCATGTCTTTGGAATGTGGGAGGAAACCCACACAGGCACAGGGAGAACATGCGAACTCCAGGCAGGTGATCAGGGTAGCTGATAATGGGGTACCTCCTGTAGGGGACCCGGGCCCTTTTCTGTGACATCCAGCAACTTCAAGTTTCATCTTAATGCAGCAGCTACAGCCAGAACTTGACCTCCAGCATTGGCCACTTGCATTGCCGCTCACTACTGTCAGCTGTCACCTATAAAACACAGAAGCCCGGCTTGTGTGTTTTATAAGTGACGCCGATCTTCTCCCAGCGGCACACTAAACACTTTCTGCTCTCCCTGCACATACAACTGAGAGGGGGTGGGGGCCGCGGAGGAGGAGGGGGCAGGGTAAAGGAGGGGACAGAGGTGTGCACAAAGCTCCAGCCTCGCACCCGCAGCATCTACAGAAACCCATGTTGACAGCCTGACTTCCTACTGTAAGTTACCGTACAGAGGCGGACTGACAACTCATGGGACCCCCAGGCAATAGGGGATCATGGGGCCCGTGTCCTTGCCCAAACTCAAAAAAGCCTATGAAAAAGGTACCAGGGGCATCTCATGGGGCCCCCTACTGACCCCGGGCCCTCGGGCGGTGCCCGAGTTTCCAAATGGTCAGTCGGCCCCTGTTACCGTACATTCACTTCTGTGGGGTAGAGGAGCGCTGTGTATTGGACAGGAGAAGAAACATCAAGAAGAGGAAGAGAAGGGCACCCTGCACTAGGCAGTGAGGAGAGAAGAGCTCTGTACTGGGGAGGTGGAAGCAGAAATTTGGGAGCAGAGCTCTCTATTGGGGAAGGGGGGATATGTAAACTGGCCTGTGAGATATGCAGACCTGCACTCTGTACATAACACAATCTTTAACTCTGTGATCTGAATGTAACACACTTCTGAGCACTGCACTCTGTACATAGCCCAATCCTGAGCCCCGCACTTTGCACGTAGTGCATTCCCGAGCCCCGCACTCTGTACCTAGTGCATTCCCGAGCCCCGCACTCTGTACGTAGTGCATTCCCGAGCCCCGCACTCTGTACGTAGTGCATTCCCGAGCCCCGCACTCTGTACCTAGTGCATTCCCGAGCCCCGCACTCTGTACCTAGTGCATTCCCGAGCCCCGCACTCTGTACCTAGTGCATTCCCGAGCCCCGCACTCTGTACGTAGTGCATTCCCGAGCCCCGCACTCTGTACCTAGTGCACTCCGGAGCCCCGCACTCTGTACCTAGTGCACTCCCGAGCCCCGCACTCTGTACCTAGTGCACTCCCGAGCCCCGCACTCTGTACGTAGTGCACTCCCGAGCCCCACACTCTGTACGTAGTGCACTCCCGAGCCCTGCACTCTGTACCTAGTGCACTCCCGAGCCCCGCACTCTGTACCTAGTGCACTCCCGAGCCCCGCACTCTGTACCTAGTGCACTCCCGAGCCCCGCACTCTGTACCTAGTGCACTCCCGAGCCCCGCACTCTGTACCTAGTGCACTCCCGAGCCCCGCACTCTGTACCTAGTGCACTCCCGAGCCCCGCACTCTGTACCTAGTGCACTCCCGAGCCCCGCACTCTGTACCTAGTGCACTCCCGAGCCCCGCACCTCTGTACCTAGTGCACTCCCGAGCCCCTCACTCTGTACCTAGTGCACTCCCGAGCCCCGCACTCTGTACCTAGTGCACTCCCGAGCCCCGCACTCTGTACCTAGTGCACTCCCGAGCCCCACACTCTGTACATAGTGCACTCCCGAGCCCCGCACTCTGTACGTAGTGCACTCCCGCGCCCCGCACTCTGTACCTAGTGCACTCCCGAGCCCCGCACTCTGTAAGTAGTGCACTCCCGAGCCCCGCACCCTGTACCTAGTGCACACCCGAGCCCCGCACTCTGTACCTAGTGCACTCCCGAGCCCCGCACCCTGTACCTAGTGCACTCCCGAGCCCCGCACTCTGTACCTAGTGCACTCCCGAGCCCCGCACTCTGTACCTAGTGCACTCCCGAGCCCCGCACTCTGTACCTAGTGCACTCCCGAGCCCCGCACTCTGTACGTAGTGCACTCCCGAGCCCCGCACTCTGTACCTAGTGCACTCCCGAGCCCCTCACTCTGTACCTAGTGCACTCCCGAGCCCTGCACTCTGTACCTAGTGCACTACCGAGCCCCGCACTCTGTATGTAGTGCACTCCCGCGTTGCACTTATTTTCATTGAGCTTAGTAAATGTGGTAAAGCTCTGCTGATTTTCACCATCCAGTCATGTGTAAGCAAAGCTGCAGTTTTTTTAATTCTCCCTGCCCCTGACTGGATACCCTTTAAAAAGTGAAGTTTTACTACGTTTACTAAGCTCTGCTGAAAATTAGAGCAACTGCACTCGCAAAGTTCGCTGTCTTTTTGCCTTTAGTAAGTCCACCCCATTCAGGGCCGGTGCTAGACTATTATGCACCCTAGGCAAGACCAGCTACTTGCTCCCCACCCAAAAAAAATAAATAAATACAATTTAAAAAAAACAGTAGAAAATATTAAATCAAGAAAACATGAAACTGCTAAATTTCTTTTAATTTGCAAAAATAAGAGCCTTAAGATGACACCAGCACCAATATTAAAGACAAAATCAGTGTCACGGACAGACTGTATCTGTGGCTGGCAGTGGCAGGGTGACAGTTTCAGTGAGTGGAATGATGGATCCACACTCTGACAGATCCCAGACTGGAATTCCCCAGGCAATGGGGGGAGACAAAATGCTGTGACAGCGGGTAGCCCAGCTCACACACAAACACACAGATCAGCAGGCACTAGAAGAGCAGGCTTTGGGATTGTGATGATGTCATCACTCACTGACACATTGCACATGTGATGGGTGGCCACCCGGGTCACACTCACACAGACATGAGACATCAGAATCAGACATTACCTTCCTCCGCAGGCTCAGCTCCGCCTCCACTGATGAATGGGAAAAGAAGAGCTGAAACACGACAGTGATCAGCAGCCACCAGCCAGCTTGCAGTACGGGACTGAGTCTGAGAGGAACACTGGAAGCAGTGGCAGCTCAGCTGCTACACTGGCCCCAGACACCAAGAATCTTCCTCTGTCCTTTCTTCCTCCCCTCTGCTGCTGCTCCCCTTAACTGGAGGTTCATTCATGATGTGACAGCATCCCACACAGAGAGAGTGCCGGCCTGTGCTGTGCCCAGGTGTACCTAGGTGGCAGTGCACCCTAGGTGGCCGCCTAGTTTTCCTAGTGGAAGCACCCCACTCGAATGTATTTTTAATTGTAAAATAAATCTCACCCATCCATCCATGTCTCTGTGTTTTATTTTGCTGAGAAATCACTTTGAAAAACATCCCCTAGGATTTCTAGACTTTCTCCATTTTGAGTAAAGGCAGATAATTCATTTAGCATTTACTTCCAGGAATCCATCTGCCCTTAGGGCAGGCATGCAAACAGAAGGGCATGCATAGCTGAAAATAACTCCTCCTCCCCTCCTCTAGATGAAAGGAAAAAAAATACCCTTGAAGACTCCTGGGATTACATCATTTTGGCCTAGGCCAGAAACCAGGAAGAAACTGAAGAAAAAAAAAATAAAAAAATATAAAATACATTCCTACTCATTTACTAAGCATAGGAATTAAAAATAAGTATTGTTGATTGAGAGTTAAGTTGTGATTTAGGAATAAATGGTACCACAGCACAACAACAATGGTTTTTGTACACAATTTTGCACATATTACCCCAACAAATAGATGTAAACTTAGCCTAAGAACTACATTTATCACACAAACGACAAAAATACGTGTGCCCGATTTCAAAGACAAATTCAATTGAGGGTTTGCATAATTATATGGCAATGCTGGACAAAAATGCAACTGAATATAAAAAAAACAACTGAAGTACATACAATTGCTGATCCAACACGACTGATCTTGATAGAGTTTCCTCTTCCTGAGAGATCTAATTCAGCTTTGTCCATTAAATACAGGCAAGCATCAAGTATCTGCTCTTCAAACTGAAATGACATTAGACAGGATTTTTCTTAAATTGTCAGACAGAGTGACCCATGAGTAAAACCATGCCGATTCCCTATTCAGATGTAAGCTGCAGTATATTCATGTTAACGTTGTTTTCTTATTGCTTCAATATTAACAGTTTACATTCTATGGTTTTTAAATGGAATGTAGAATGCTTATATACAGTATACTGATCAGGACAAAATGTGAAAAGTTTTTTTCTTGAGAAGTGATGTGAATATTACATGTTCTGTGCTTAACAGGTTACATGTAAATATTTTATATTTACTCTTTCCTTTTTTCACATTACCAGAATAATGCTACATGCTTTGCTTTAACAAAAAAAAACTACACTGCTCAAAAAAATTAACGGAATACTTTGAAAACACATCAGATCTCAATGGGGAAAAATATCATGCTGGATATCTATACTGACATGGACTGGGTAATGTGTTAGGAACGTAAGGGTGCCCCATCATTTGATGGAAATGTAAATTATCAACCTACAGAGGACTGAATTCAAAGAAACCTCGAAAATCAAAGTTGAAAAAATTATACAGCAGGCTAGTCCATTTTGCTGAAATTTCATTGCAGCAACTCAAAATGGTACTCAGTAGTTTGTATGGCCCCCACATGCTTGTATGCAAGCCAGATAATGCCAAGGCATGCTCCTAATGAGATGACGGATAGTGTCCTGGGGTATTTCCTCACAGATCTGGACCTGGGCATCACCGAGCTCCTGGACAGTCTGAGGTGCAACCTAGTGGGGTTGGATTGACCGAAACATGATATCCCAGAGGTGTTCTATTGGATTCAGTCAGGCGAGTGAGGGGGCCATTCGATGGTATCAATTTCTTCATCCTCCAGGAACTGCCTGCATACTCTAGCCAGATGAGCCAGGCATTTTCAGGCACCAGGAGGAACCTAGGACACACTACACCAGTGTAGGGTCTGACAATGGGTCCAAGGATTTCATCCTGATACCTAATGGCAGTCAGGGTGCCTTTATCTAGCCCAGGGGTCTCCAAACTTTCTAAACAAAGTGCGAGTTCACTGTCCATCAGACTTTAGGGGGGGCCGGACTGTAGCCATTGGGAGTAGAGCATTTTCCAGCATCAGTTGGAGTAAACAATGCCCCATCGTTGGTGTCATTGGTAGGAATTGTGTCCCAACATTGGTGTCATTGGGCACCATTGTTGGTGTCATTGGGAGGAATTGTGCCCTATCACTGAAGTCAATGTGAGGAATTGTGCCCCATCACTGGTGTCATTTGAAAGAATTGTGCCCCGTCACTGGTGTTATTGGGCCCCAATGTTTGTGTCATTGGGAGGAATTGTGTCCTATCATTGGTGTCATTGGGAGGAATTGTGCCCCTTTGTTTCTGTCAGTGAATAAAGTAGTGCTTCAAGGGCCAGATAAAAGAAGGCAAAGGGCTGCATTCAGCCTCCGGGCCGCAGTTTGGAGACCACTGGTCTAGCCTGTAGAAGGCTGTGCGTCCCTCCATAGATGTGCCTTCCCAGACGATCACTGACCCACCACCAAAATGGTCATGCTGCATGATGTTACAGGCAGCATAACATTCTCCGTGGCTTCTCCAGACCTTTCATGTCTGTCACATGTGCTCAGGGTAAACCTGCTCTCATCTGTGAAAAGCACAGGGCTCCAGTGGCGGACCTTACAATTCTGGTGTTCAGCGGCAAATGCCAATCGAGCTCTATGGTGCTGGGCAGTAAGCACAGGGCCCACTAGAGGATGTTGGGATGTCAGGCCACCCTCGTGAAGTCTGTTTCTAATTGTTTGGTCAGAGACATTCACACCAGTGGCCTGCTGGAGGTCATTTTGTAGGGCTCTGACAGTGCTCATCCTGTTTTTCCTTGCACAAAGGAGTAGATACCGGTCCTGCTGATGGGTTAATGACCTTCTACGGCCTTGTCCAGCTCTCCTAGAGTAACTGCCTGTCTCCTGGAATCTCTGCCATGCTCTTGAGATTGTGCTGGGAGACACAGAAAACCTTCTGGTAATGGTACATATTGATGTGCCATCCGGAGGAGTTGGACTGCCTGTGCAACCTCTCTAGGGTCCAGATATCGCCTCATGCTTCCAGTAGTGACACTGACCCTAGCCAAATGCAAACCTAGTGAAAAACAGTCAGAAAAGACAAGTAGGGAAATAAATGTCAGTGGCCTCCACCTGTAAAACCATTCCTGTTTTGGGAGTTGTCTCATTGTTGCCCATCTTGTGCACCGGTTGTTAATTTCATTAACACCAAAGCAGCTGAAATTGATTAACAACCCCCTCTGCTACTTAACTGACCAGATCAATATCTCAGGAGTTTCATTGACTTGATGCTATACTCTGATTAAAAAGTTTTCCTTTAATTTTAGTAAATAAAGTCTTCAGAAATCACGCTGAAATTACACACAAAATTACACGAGTTTAAATTGCAGTGGTGTGACTTGTGACTAAAACTAAAACTACACCTACAGATGAATTGGCAAATGGGGTGACACTTTCCACTCCACATCTTTTTTTTGTTTGTTTGTTTGTTTGGGGTTACACACAGACGTTCAATTAGAGTGAAGTGCAATGCAACATCTTCCATTATAGGTATTCAGTGTTGCTAAAGATAATTTTATTGATAAAGCTAATTTGCTTCTATGATGCTGCTCGCAAAACAAAAAAAAAAGAGCTGGTGTTGAGCAAATTTGGGGCAGCACAGTGGCTGAGTGGTTAGCACTTCCACCTAACAGCACTAGGGTGGTCGGTTTGAATCCCAACCACAACACTACCTGCCTAGAGTTTGCATGTTCTCCCTGTGTCTATGTGGATTTCCTCCTGGTACTCTGGTTTCCTTCCACACTTCAAAGACATGCTGCTGGGTTAATTGGCTCCTGTCTAAATTGGTCTCAATAATATGTGTATGTATGAATGTGAGTTAGGGACTTTAGATTGTAAGCTCCTTGAGGGCAAGAAATGATGTGAATGTATAATACTTAGGTAAAGCACTGAGTAAATTGCTGGCTCTACATAAGTACCTTAAATAAATACATACATTATACAGGAAGTAAGAAAGTGCTACACCAATTTAGAGACAAAAAAGATGTTTTATTACACAATGAATAAAAAAATCCAACACAATTTGGAGGTTCAGATGTTCTCTCTTCATCAGGACTTATGTATTATATGATCTCAAATGTTCCTGGACTCCATTGAAATGCCTCAATAGCTATATAATTTATGACATGAATTTCTGCCACTGGCAGCGTGTGAAGCATGGTGCTCGGTTAGAGCAGTCAGAGCTTTAAATTAGTGCAAGGCAGCCTGAAAACAAACTGTTTCTATCGTGCTTTGTATTTAGAAAACCCATGATCATAGGTAACAGAGTATATTACATGGAATTTGTGAAAATATAGATTTGATACAAAATATTGGAAAAAATATCAAAAACATTAGTTTAAAAACTTAGAATAACTAAATAGCACTGACCCAAAAATCATTATTGATCGATTTTCAAAAGGAGTAATATGATTTTATGCTTTTAGCATGGGATAGCAGAAGAAAAGTTTTACAACACTGCATGTGTTATAGTTTGTTAAAAAATACATGCATACGTCTGATGCAAATATCAAGATGTCTTAACCTCCTTGGCGGTATGATTCTTTCCGATTTTTTGTGCTGAAAGCGGTACCATTTTTTGCATGGAAATATGTAGTTTTTTATTGTAGGCTGTAATTTTTAGGAATAACTCACTGAAATCTGCACGAACAAGAGTCTATTAAACATTCCGGATATGATAAAATTTGAAACACGAAATCATAAATTATAATTTAATAAATAATCATAAAAAATAATAATATAATAATAATAAATTTAATTCACTAATATAATCAAACCAAAAACACTGAAATTTGAAATACAGAGGCAAATTCGCACATCGCTGAGCAAAATCGCAAAATCGTTTTCAGTGTCTGATGACGAATTTCCCCACGAATCATTATCACTCAATTCTGCAAGTGGTTCTGATTTACTATCGCTGTTCTCTAGATGGTCTAAAACTGTTTTTGACGTAAAGGGACGCTTTTTGGACACCATGGACTTTTCTCAGTTTCCAGGCAGAAAGAACATTCAAAATGCAGGCAGGGCACAGGACAAAGCAGTAGGGACAAAATATATGTGAAATGCATTGAAACAGCAATGACAGCAAAAATGAAATTTTTTAAAAATTTCAAATTTCCTGCTGGTTCCGGCGCCCGTACGTCCCGATGTCACAGGGACCGGAACACAGAAGCCGGATGCCGGCATCGGCCGGAGGAGATGGCCGGGGACGCTGCAGGGGACACATCGCGGGAGCGAAGGACAAGGTAAGTGCTGCAGGGACCCCCAGAGCAGCGCCGCATGGTAAGCCCGAGTGTAGCTCGGGGTTACCGCTCTTGGTATAGAAATTTTACCCCGAGCTACACTCGGGATTACCACTAAGGAGGTTAATGGGCAGCTGTCAGTTTGAAGGAGTGGTTGCTCCTAGGCAAACTTTATTTGTATGCAGACTGCCCTAGCCAATGCCACATTGGATGCTGAGCCTCACTTATTTAAAGAACTGAAATCCAGTGAATGATAGGTGCAGGCCAAGGACAGTAAGTCTAGGGGGGAAAGGACTAGATGATGCTAAAGGTCCTCCAGCCAGGAAAAGAGGTTGTATGTGATTTGTTGCAGGTTCTAATTCAAACTTTGAGAAGCTCACAGTGAGTAGTGAAATCAAAGTAAGAAATTTCAGTACAGTAGAGGAGCCTGTGCAGCTGTGCAAGACTGAAGGGAAGACTGGTGTTAAGTTTTCAGGGATACCTACAGTAGAGCAAGCTGGACAGAAAGCGCTCTAGAAGGGTTTTTGTTGACCCCAGTCCCATGCTCACACCATATAGCAGAAATAATGTGTATAAACATTGATTTGTGAATTCCGAAGCTTGCTTTATACACTGCAGTATATCATCAGGTTCAAAAAAAGCTTCCTTTTTTACACTGTATACATTCTATTAAATTATGAAATAAATATTGCATGGCAAACTTCAAGCACACTGATTCACAAGATTCTCACCTGTCCATACTCCCAGGGTCGTCTCTTGATATTATTCAGTTCTCCATGAAAAACGACACCAACGTCATTCATTACATATTCTTCTATTTCCTTTTCATCATCCATGTAAACAGCATCCTCTATGAAGGAGAGCATGAAAATAGAAAGTTGTTGCACATCTTCAGAAGGCTATTTTTTACATGTATATGTACAAATACAAAGAAAAATAATAAAGACGATTTTGCAATGTCAAGGATAGGCATCTAAGGCTATTGCAATATAGTTAAATCAAAATTGTCCTCTAATAGACGGCGCCACTGGATATACGTCCGGGGTAAACTAAAACAAAAACAAAAGCTAAACTCAACTCACACTGTGAACGAGGAGGAACTGCCATCTATTCTTTGAAATACAAAGACATATAACAGTAATTATTTAAAACAGCGCTCCTCCACACCCTCTCTTTTATATCCTATTATCCTCCTCTGTGTATGCAACAAGCATATATATTATGCCTCTAATATGTGAAACTTGGTATAAATCATTAGTGTGTCACACCAATATAAATTTTTTTCATGTGTATATAAAATATGTGCATAAATATATCCCATATAGAAAAAAACAAATAATTATTTAAACAAAATACACCCAGCCAATGTCTTTACATAATCAAAAAAAAGTCCATGTGTAAAGTGAAATTGAAAGGGAAGATATTTCATCCATAGAATGGTTCTTCAATTCATGTGTAATTTAAACACCACCACGCCATGCTGATCCACCACCCAAACGGATGGAATAAACACACCAAAGCTCCAGGCTGGTCAAATCATAAACCAGCTGCCACACAGTGGCTCTGGGAGCAACGATCTGCAGCAATATTTCTGACTCCTACTCGACTGGTCAATCCTCATGAAAAAGGATGGAATTACATGAGAAAAAAGAAAGAGGAAACTCCATATTGTAAAACTGTCAATAGCTTTATTCCATTTAAAAATAGAGAATCTCACTCACAATCTACAGTGTCTCCTCCGACACATATGCAAACGGGTGAACTCCGGTAACACAAACGCCAACAGCTCCCCCGTGCTACGTGGTGATGTCACCTCCAAAGACCCGCCCTAAACGTTTCATCATCTGACATACTCCAGGAGGAGGAAATAAATGGAAAAAAGCTATTGACGCCCTGGGCATAATTTCTAAACTATATTCCCACATTATGTCTGTGGCCTCTAATCTACCCTCCTATGCCACTAAATGGGCTTTTGATCTTGGAGTACAATTGGAGCAGAAGGATTGGGATGGAATTTGGGCAACAACCAAATCTTCCTCACAGAATATACTTGCTGCTCAAACTAACTACAAAGTTTTAATGCACTGGTACCTGGTCCTGGCAAGAATGCAAGTGTACAATCCAAATGCACTTGTTCCTGCGTTAAAAATGGCTGTGTGTATAAGTGAGTGCTGCAGCAACCGTCAGCTGGAAACCAACAGAATCAGCAAGGGAGAATGTCACCAGCACACCGAGGATCACCAATATGGGTCCAAAAGTTTTAACGAACGAACGCATAGTTACAGAATGGCAACTTTTTGGAGTCTCGCAGGGTCCCTTCATCAGGCATGGGACTTTTTGCCACATGCCTGATGAAGGGGTCAGTTTCCTTGGATTGACTATTTGAATGAGATGTTTATATCTCTTTGTACATGGTCTTTGCATTCCCTGGGGCTTAGTTCTCTTAGTGTTCCCTTTCCTTTCCAGACCCACACTGACTATCAAGCACAGGGGGGGGGAGTCCCCAAATTCCTCAATGTCTGTACTCACAAGGCCCAAGGACAGAATGGTTGCCTCCTTCCAATCTTCCAAGCAAAACCCTCCAGTGACACCAGACAGAGCTTTGGCAGATAGCTCCCCTCAACGTACTGTAGTAGAGTCGCTCTCTCTAACGTCAGGCCCTCGGTCGACCCATCTGGGGTGGCATGGCAGCCAGTGCCATGCGAGGCAAGCCTGCCTCCAGCCTTGCTTGGTTCAATCCTCCCCCGATTAAGAGGTTGAACCCATATGCTCGCAGAACATTAACACCACTCCCAGCATGCTATGGGCCTGCCCTCCCCTGCAATTGGCCAGGGCTGTATCTATATTCATGCTGCTCATTTGTCTAATTCCCTCCCAGGTTCTGGAAGGCTCTCATAGGTTCTTGAAGGCGGACAGAACTCAAAGAAAACTTAGCAGCACCAGAGCATCATTAGTAGACCTGGCTAATCCATCACAGCCCTCTGTTAAGCAGAGAGCCCAACTAGATTTTCCTAACAATCTCTCTGTTAGGCAGAGAAACACAGCTATGTTTAACCCAACTACACAAATGCCTGCCTAGGAGGGTGCTACAACCCTGTACATTCTCTCTAAATTACATCTATGGGGAGTAAAGAATCCGTGCAGCCCACGTCATACAGAATTTTTAATAATTCCCTTTACACTTGTGAACCCAACATTCTGCCTTTATAATTCTATCCACCTCTAACTTCTAATCCAGAAGTGTGGGGCTTCTCTGACTCCTCCAGTAATGCGGTATAAGACACTGTATTATTATTATATTTCATAATACACTGTTCTTGTATCTTTTGACTAGCATTACTGTATTATGAAATATCATTTGAAGGGGGTCATTATTAACTGGAAAAGGTGATATTCTGTTTATCCATGTTAAGGTGTCTTCCCAATCTCTGTATTTTTTGTGAATGGCACCATACATGTATAAATGTTCCCAATTGGGTACAGCCTCTCCAACAGTTTGGTGAGAGCCCCTGAGTCATCATGCAAATTTAACTGAGGTTCTGTACCATCTGGAGATACATTTCTAAACTAATTCTTGTGTTTTTTTACTAATAATTGTAGAGTGAGTGAGAGCGAAGATATTTAGCTTATTACTCAGTGGAACTTCTAGTTCTCTCTCCCACTCACTCCAGAAAGGTAACTCCTTAGGTGTATTGTATATAACAATAGAAGAAATTGATAAAGTTTTGTTAAAAGATGTGGGCCTTTAGCTTTACACACACTCATCTTTTTCCCATGTTGTTAAGAAGTGTGTCAGACGTGCAAGATTATCGAGGGTTGTAAAAAAAAGTAACAGCTTTAGGTGTCAAAAATCCATTTGGAAGGAGCCAAACTGCTGCCATAGTTCAGCATTTTATGTCTGCACCCCCCCCCCCCCACCCACAGTGCCAAAGAAAGATGAATCCTCTCCCAGGGTAAACCAAGCAAAGCAAGTGGGGATACTACAGGAGTCAATAAAGGAAAGCAAAACTAAGGGACATTGACACAGGCAGGAAGTTTCGCAAACTCTGCCAAAAAGAAACCTATTGGATCGACCAATTGAGCTCTCTGGTCCCTAATGGTTTTAATGACGCATTCGAGTCCCTCATTTAGTCCAATACATTATCGCATTATGTGTCCTTTTTGCAATTCTGGGAGTATCCATTTACATGTGCTTGCCTCATCCTACTTCCTTGATCTTGCTCTCAATGAATTCCTTACTCTGGATGATAGTGCCATGGGTGCAGTAACAACCACAATTGACTGCACTTTGCGCTACTCCCCACTTGCTTCCCCGGGTTCTTTCAATTAATGCATTCCATCCTTATGGTATTGAGGAGCTAAACCGTTTTTATCTATACCATTGCACTGGTCCAGCTTTATAAGACTCTCATTTTCATAATAAAATATTGTTTTTATGTATTTAATACTATTATTCATTTAATGCTCATATATATTTACATATATATATATATTCTTAATATTTACTCTGTTTATTTAATCACTAATATATGCCTGCTATTTCAGCACATTATAACTTCTTAGGTCCACTATTTATGGTATTAAGCATGTATTACTATCATCTCTTTCCTCATGTGGATATCGTTTTATCTTTCTATAGAGAAACTCTTCCACCGCCAAGCCTTTCTAATCATGACCTCACATGTCTATCAATCGCAAACTGGCAGACCTAGAAGATCGCTCCAGGCGAAATAACATCAAATTCCGTGGTATCCCTGAATCCATCATTACGGATGCCATAGTCCCATATATCCAACAATTCATGAAACACCTCATCCCTACACTCACAGATGTAGAGCTTGCCATAGACCGCGCACATAGAATTCCCAAACTGTCATTCCTACTGGCCGCAGTACCCAGAGATACATTGGCGCGCATACATTTCTATCACGTGAAAGAAAAAATAATGATAGCCACTAGAAATTCTACCTCAATCCCAGCAGCCCAAGCAAATATCAAATTTTTTGCTGACCTATCCAAAGCTACACTTCACAACTGTAAGAAGCTTGTCATCATAACGAAAGCATTGCAGAACCATGGAATCGGATACCAATGGGGTTTCCCCATGAAATTAATCGTCAAACACCAAGGAAGACTCTACATGATCAAAACCCTAGAAGCAGGCATCGAACTCCTGAAAACATGGAACATCATTCTGTTGAACAAGCACCTGACACCACCAGAAGACTTACATCCCTTTTTCACCCTACAAAAATTTGGCATCACAGGATGGATGTTGACAGCCATCTTATCATTATACTCACACCCCTCTGCTAGAGTACATCACAAATGGTACTAGACAGGGCTATCTACTTTCCCTGATAATATTTGCACTGCTCATTGAACCCTTAACTTCTAAACTCAGAGACGACCCGACATTTACTGGAATCAAACACCTTAACACGGAACATAAAATCAGTCTATTTGCAGACAACATCATATTGATGGTGACCAACCCAAACAAATCCCTTAAAATAATCTGCACCCACCTCCATAATTACTCAACGGTCTCCTATTACAAGCTTAATGAACCCAAGTCCTCGATACTAAACCTTCATACACCACCCCAAGACCAAACTCTACTAACTAAACAATTCCCATTCTCCTGGGAAAAAAAACAGTATTCACTATCTAGGAATTAGACTCAACGCAACAACAGATCAACTATACACCTCAAACCACAAGAAACTGCTTGAAACTATCCTCCAAGAAATTGCCACTCTTCACACCTCAGAACTCTCCAAGCTGGGACGAGTAGCGAACCTGAAAATGTACATCCTACCCAAAATCTTATATATATTCCGCACACTTCCTATAT